TTACGCTACTGTATTACAACTACACTTATGTTTTGTGTAATAATCTGCTCGCTACACAACTATTCATGCACACCAAGAAGTTAGAGGATCGTGAAATAAGCTCAGCAATAAGAATAAGCTACATATTCTCTTTACCTAAATTTACAGAGAGTGTCGAAAATACGTAAACATATCATTTTAAAGACAAACGAATCGAACGTATTTGCGCATATTTCAATAAAATGAGATAGAGTTCCAAATGTTCCATTTATATAAAACAATTGAAATAACGTCACACTTTTATCACTTTTATTGGATGAGTTGAAGCGGGCCATAAATAGAAAAAGCGATTCCGTCAATTTCTATCCAATTGCAAACATTTTTCTGAAACGGTTCAGTGGTTATCTGGTAGGAGATAGGACAAAACCGTCTGCCATCTGCGAAAAGTTGTACAGAATATAAAAATTCAAATATTCTTTGTGAATAAAATTTTATTAAAGAAAATCAAAGAAGGGCGCAAATGAGTGAATTCTCCCTTACAATATAAATGCGTAGTTCAATTCCTTCAGTAGCGACTTTCGGTGTTCTTTCTGAAGAATTTCTACGCACAAAACAAACTTTTCCAAATTTAAGAATTTTTTTTTCTTTGATGTGGAATAAGAACAAAATAGTCTTAATTCTGAAGTCTACCATATAAAATATAAGAAATTAAGAAAAGTTTTTTTCCAAATTTAAGAAAAAAAATTTCTTATTTCATTTTTAAGAAACCGCTGCGTTTCAAGCTTAACAATTGCGGCTACAATTGATGCGAAATTACATTTAATGTACGCCAATTCAGTTTCAATGCCATTATGAGCGAATGCTTCCTTTGCCAAACCAATCGCGTCTGCGTCTTCATCAACAAATGTGTCAACTACAGTTTTCACCGCTGCAAAATTGTCACAGTAGTAGATAACGGCATTTATCCATGTTCCCCATCGTGTAACTATTGGTTCTGGAGGTAGAGGCAGTTCTGGACACATCGATTTGAATGCTTGCCGACGGGGCGGTGCCTAAGAAAAATATCCATTCATTTTAATTCACAGAAATTGAAACTAAGACTTGAAAAACGTTTACCTTAACAAACACATTTTTTGTTTTGGAAATCAGTTGATTGACCGTTTTAAATTTAGATCGAACCAATTCGGCCACTCGGTGCAATCCATGTGAGAAACAAGTCAAATGCAGCATTTTTGGAAATAGGATTTGCAGGGAACGCATAGCTGCAATCATGTAAGCGGCGGCATCAGTTAATGCAAACAGAACTTTGTTGTATTGAATACCTGCGCGAAATGAAAAAAAAGAAAAATATTCTAAAACGAACACAAATAGTGCATGTGTAATTTCGGTTACCGTTTGGCCATATAAGCAATAATGAATCGTTGCAAAACGCTGCCATGTTACTAGCATTGGCGCTATCGACTACTGCCATGTTCAACAAATAGCATTCGCCGCGTTCTGGACTATCGTCAGCATCATCCAATATCCCAAAAATAAAATTAGTGACCAAACGACACTCCGAATCGGTGGTTTCATCGATAGATGTCCGAATGTATCTGTCCCCGACTTTTGCACGCAACTTTTCCATTGTCTCGTTGTACAAAATCGGCACATATTTCTGTCGCACTGACGATTCACTTGGCATGCTTTTTCCGGTGTACTTTTCAACAAAATTTACGACACTCGGATGACTGCACATACAAAACAACATTTTTAAAGCAAATAAGTTCTATTGGTGATAAAATGAATTACATACGTAATCCAAACTTTACCGCTCCGCAGCAATTTAGTTTACCTCCCGCTTAATGTTTAACCAAAATTTCAATGGACCCTTTTTCATAGCATTTTTTACCTTAAAATATAATTATTTCGACCATTTTCGATACAAAAGTGTCATTTTCGAACAAAATTTCAAGAAATGTTGATTTCGGACCAAATTTATGGGCAAGTATGTGTTCGGTTGTTTGAAGGCTCCCATTATTTTTGCAAAAAAACATCAGTTTGTCTTGATCAAAACCCTAAAAAATGGCTTTCTGAGTAATTTTTTATACAAAAGTCTATTTTTCGAGGAAAATTTCAAGAAATGTCGATTTTGGACCAAATTTATGGGCAAGTAGGTGTTCGGTTGTTCACAGACTCCCATTATTTTTGCAAAAAAATGGCAGTTTGTCTTGATCGAAACCCCGAAAAATGCCTTTTTCGGGTACTTCCCGTACAAAAGTGTCATTTTTCAAGGTTTTTCAGGTCCTCAGTCGGAGGCTTATGGTACGAAATTGGTAGGTCAGAATGGGCTCAAAATCAATCCGAAGCTTTGTCTCGACATGCCAAAACTTTTGGCTTTTACAGATCTCAATTATCTTGTCAACTTTTTGAGATAATCGGCGAACAAAAAACGCGAACGCGGACGACGCCATACGAACATCGCTATTTTACACATTTTTCATAGTAAACAACATGTTTTTGGGGGTAGATAGGTCTTGATCGATAGGATTTGATCCCATCTACATTGCCTAGTGTACAGATATGTGCTTTTTCAAGTTTGGCGTGACGTTATAGTGGTCCGAAAGAGGAGATGTCATGAAATTTTGGCTAGTAAAACCAATACTTTACCTAACAAACAAAGTTTGCGGTAAAGTAATATGTCATTTCACTAATAGAATATTTCATTTGTATTGGTAATTTCAGTACAAGTGACAAATTTACTAACATTGCCTATTGTATTGAATTTACCAATACAAATGAAAAATTCCATTGGTGAAATGACATTTCACCAATAGACCGTCAGGGTTCAATAATGTAATCTATTGGTACTTTTGCATTTCACCAATAGAACTGGCAGGGTTCACCAATTCAGTTTTCTCTGGGTGATTTTTTTCAGCGGAATGTTTGCTTCGAGGAAGGTGTTACAAATATCCAGGTTGAATGTATTGATTTGTTGGGATTTCTGATGCTCGGTTATGAGTGTTTGTTTGGCTGTTTTTTCTTCTTTGTCCTTTGCATTTGTCAATTCAACTGCCTTTAGGTGCATTTTTGAATCAATGTGCGCTTTTACATTCGATGTTTTGTGACCAGTCAAAGCTGTTCCACAAAAATTACACAACAAAATCGAATTATCTGTGCGAAATGTTTCTTTATATTGAGCAACCATACGCGCACCAAATTCTTTAACAGTTTCTTTTGATTTGCCCATGTTTCCAACTTGTTCTCACATATCAATTGAATGTAAAAGTTTGAAGTGATCGCAATGAAAGTCAACTGACGGCCTGAGAAGAAAAACCTTTCCTACAAAACCTGTGCGCAGAACACAAACACAGAAATTTTTTAGGCGAACAGCAAATTTGCGAGCGCAAAAACCTAATATATTTACAGCGAGCGCAAAAGCATAACAGGCCTACTTATACGGAGTTTGCATGCTAGTGGGCTTGTTATACTTTTGCGCTCGCTGTAAATATATTAGGTTTTTGCGCTCGCAAATTTGCTGTTCACCTTTTGACTAAAAAATTTCTGTGTTTGTGTTCTGCGCACAGGTTTTGTAGGAAAGGTTTTTCTTCTAAGGCCGTCAACTCGGCAACGAGAATAAAATATAAATCATTTGGGAGAATAAGTATCGATTTCGATGCAAGTATATAAGACCAATACATATCGAAGTCGATTGCTTTGTTTTAAATTTTGTCGCATCCACAAAATCAAGCTATCTGGTCTTGTTTACATTTGAAAAAAAAAAACATAAACTCCAAACCATATTCACGTTGATTGCTCTTTGCCATTTTTCGGCAGTCTAGCGGTCAGCTGGTTGAGAATACAATGTATGCAATACAGTTAGCAGAAGTGATTTATCCGATTCTTTTTTCGCACAGATGTTTCATTTGCACCAATTTCGCAACGAATGCCATTTTGAGCTAAAAATACCGTTTTGGGCTTGAAAATGCCGTTTAGGCTTTTTCAGGCTTGAATCCGAAAAATTGGCAAAAACCGAGGCTCAAGGCCCGAGCCTTCATTTATCCTCTCTCATAATTATGACCATTATAATGATATCAGAGTTGATTTAAATGTTGATTCGGTGAGTGGATGAAGTAGCTAGACGTTCTAGACTAAAATGGCTCTATCATTTGGAAAAAATGGCAGATTTTCGTTTGCAGAAAATGGTTTTATATTCAGAAGCTGATGAACATAGATATAGTAGTAGACTCCATAGTGGGTTTTTAGATTCAATGAAATCCCAATTTTGTTGGGAAAAGTATGGGTTTTATATGCATAGATGAGTATCAGAACAAGAAAATTATGAATGAAGGCGGGTATTTGGATTATTATAATACAAGTTTTCGTCATTTAAATTTGAAATTTGTCCATATAATCTTAATTCTTTCGCTTTGATTTTATTCAAATAGGCTGTGGGAATCAATGCTGTTGGCCCTGTAGCTAGAGGTAAAATAAAATAAGTTGTCGATTAAATGAAATTGCTTTATTAGATGTTTTTTTTCTATCTATTCAGCACTTGGAAAGCAAGTGTTAAGAACTGGAGAAGGTAAGATAAATTAAATTTTCTATGGAATGGAATCGCTTTATTGGGCGTTACTTTTTCTCTTTTTAGCACTTGGGAAGCAAGCGCTTAAAGGAGGAGAAGGTGAGATGAGTGAAGTTGTCGATTGAATGGGATTGCTTTATTGGTCATTTTTTTTATTCAGCAGTTGGAAAGCAAGCGGGACACGCACAAGTAGTACCTAAAACAGGAGGACCAGGAGGTAAGATGAATGAAATTGTTGATGAAATAGAATCACTTTAAGGCACTATTTCCAACGCACACGATTGTAAATCGGTTGATGATCTTCCTAATCATATGCGATTGTTTTTATATGGCACGATTATATACTATTTGCTATTTCCAAGGAAACGATCGGTGGACGATTTCAAACGAATCGTACACGATTGAAATCGTGCACCTTGGGAATGGTGCCTTTATTGGTCGTTTTTTTTAATTCAGCAATTGGGAAACCAGCGGGACACGTACACGCAGTACCTAAAATTGGAGGACCAGGAGGTAAGATGAATAAAATTGTTAATTGAATGAAATCACAAGTGAACAGATCATTTCAGATGATTAACAATTAAAATCACACAATAATTTTTTTTTCTCGAATGATTGTGTACTAGGGCGATTCAAATTGCAAAAGATTCGACTTTCTACCATTCCCGTCGCGATTCTGAAAATTCATCGCGAAAAAATAAGAATGAGATGGTTCCGACACCCTCGGTCCAAAAAAAAAAACAAATGCACGTGAATTTTTAAAATTTTCTGTACCGCCCTTTGGAAATGCATTTTCAAATGTCAAAAATCAATGAAATAAGACTTTTGGGCGCAAAACAGCAGCTTGGGTTTTATTTCCAAATCTTATAATATTTGCCAAAGCATCTATTACATAAAGTGTATACCAGTGTGGATAATGTGAAAAAAGACGAAGATTTGGTGAATGAGTCGTTTTTTTGAGAGTTGAAATCGAACCAATCGAATATGAGGCTATTACTATGTGAAAACATACAATGAATTTTCAGAATCGTGACGGGAATGGTCGAAAATCGAAACTTTTACAATTTGAATCGCCCTATTGTGTACATAGTTAATCACACAACCATTGATCCTGTGTATAAATGTTAAGGTAAAGTATTGAAAATGAAAGAATAAGGGTCAAACGAGGCTAAATAATCAAAAAAATGACTGTGACACAGTATCAATGATTGTGTGATTAAGTAATCACGAGAACGCCCACCCGTTAATGGAATCGTTTTATTATGCGTTTTTTTCTTTATTCAGCACTTGGGAGGCAATTTGGAAGCCTAGTAACACCAGGAAGTAAGTAACTAAATTGTTGATGGAATGGAATTAATTTATTAGGCATTTTTATCTATATCGAACAGTTGGCAGGCATATGGTAAACAGAGGAGGAACTATAGGTTCGATGATGCCAAAGGATGGATTGCATACATTACAGAACGAGGCTACGGCACAACTAAAAGAAGTTGCAACTAAAGGTAAGATTAATGGAATTTTTATAGTAATAGAATTTCTTTATCTAGGGTTTTCTTTTTAAATTAGTGAATATCGCAAAACGTCGTCGTTTGCCACGAGGTCTTCAAGGACGTCATTATCGTCGGGAGGTCAAACGTAAGATGAATGGAATTGTCATTGTTATTGATTTATTAAGGATTTTTGTGTTTTTCTTCACACACGAAAAAAACCTTCGAATTGTATAAAGAAATACGTCTAATATATGCCGTTAGTAGGTTTCCTTCCAATATTCCCATGTATTGACAGGAATCCTACCAAACAACACATATACGCACATACAGTCATTGGCGCATACACAAACGTCATAGATGAGTTGACGTTTGTGTATGCGCCAATGACTGTACATGCGTATGTGTTTTGTTTAGTAGGATTCCTGTCATTATATGGGAATTTTGGATGGAAATCTACTAACGTCATATTTTAGACGTATTTCTTTGTTTGATTCAAAGGTTTTTTTCGTGTGTGTTTTTAAATCCAGACACAATGAATAAAGCTATAGCTGAAATGGCCCAAATTGAGAATAAATCTCTTAGTCAACACCAGATCGACCGTAAGATGAATAAATTAAACATTTGAATGGAATCGCTTTATTGAGATTTTTTCTTTTTCACTTTCAGAAATAGTAAACGCATTAACTAATAACTTCAAAACAGTCGTGGAAGACATTTTTTCCAAAACTGTATCCAAACTGACATCCAAAGTACCTCTTACTGGTATGGCAGCAATCAAGAAATATATAGGCGCGTTCTTTATGCTGGAATTGATAAAAGATTTATTATTCGGTGGCATTGGTGAGGTTGTTGGGGTTGCTAAGCTTATTTCTGTTCTTACTGAAGATATTAAGGTTATCGATAATAAGGATCGATATCGACAAGTGCTTTATGATTGTGTGTCACCTTTTGACCTACCTAACCCTGAAGACAATTGGGTCGATAACCATTATGTGCATGAACAAGACGGAGATGATGATGATGAAGACGTAGAAGAAGGAGATTTGGAAACACTGGTTACTTTAAACAATCACGAGATCTCTGTTGACAAAATTACTTCTTTAATAAACGCGATTATTGCGAAAATTAAAGAAGGAATTAAAGGAAATTGGAATGAAATCCAAAAATCCAAATTAATTCAAACACTTGAAAAAGAGGGATTCTTCAAAGGAAAGAAAACTCTTGCAGAAATAATCAAAGAAGAAGACCAAATAAGAATGTAAAAAGTAAACTGAATCGACT